AGAAGGGAAAAAAGACACTGATTAGAGAGAGATTCAAGGATATGGAAATGAAGACATGAGTTCGGGGCAGGGGGCAGCATGTAGGCACTGGTTAGACATGATGGAGCTGAAATTGATAAATGATATTCAGGTCTGGGTGGGGACACAGGAGAGGAGAGATAGTCAGAGTGGATATAATTATTGGTTGACGAGGTTAAAAGCGAGAAGGGAGGAGCAGAAAACAGGGAGTATCCTGTCCACATGAAGACAGGCGGACACAAACGCCACCTTAAAGCAACATTTATGTTACGACTGCTTGCTAAACAGGCTGTTAAAGTGGCCCGTGGCCAAGCAGCCTCTACATGTTATGGAAATATGGATTTAATGTTTGCAAATATGGTCTCGTCAGGTCTTTGTGTTCCCATCCATCAGCCTCAGACCCACCTCTGCAATCTTGGAGGCAATTTGTCTGAGGAGAGGTGGGCGGCAGAGAGCCCTCCTCACTGTTTAGCAGGCCCTGATGAAATATCAAAACACACAGCGGTGCAAGCGAGCGCTCCAGCCTCACAACAACAAACACAAGTGGCCGGGGTCTGCGAAGGCGTCAGGCTCCGTAATAAATTACAGGACACATGATGTTTCTCAAGAGAAGTGGACAGAGCATGATTCATTTTAGGTTCATTTAGGGCCTTTAGATGTTGAACATGTAAAGCCCCTGAATACTTGAAAGCTGTTATAATCCATATTTTTAGTAATTGATTAACTTAAATCGTTTATGTGAGAGGGACTGATTGTAGTGAAAAACTCTCAGTTCCCGTCACACGGTTTTTGTGTCGCTCGTCATGTGTCGTGTCCCTGAATTGTTTTAGTTAACCTGCCGCACATTACTTTGTGGTTCACTCTGTGTTCTTCTCTGTTGTTTCAGGCATAAAAGAAAGCCCCAAAAATGGTCTGCTACGTGCAAGCACCGAATAACAGAAAACTAGCAGCTAGCTGGTAAAGGTAGTTGAGCATTAAACAGCTACAGCACTGGTGGAGACCAACAATAGGCTAAGAGAGAGAGAATATTTGACCTACTTTTGTCTGTGGGACAAAAACACAACTCTAATGTTGCTCTGCATCTGCTGGATGTGTATTGAAAAAGGTTGTGATGCATCAATGTCTTTCTTCTTTCCAAAATGGTCCAAAAAGTTCAGTTGGAAAGTTCATGAACAAATAAGCAACTATCAAAATTAAATAAAGATTTTTTTATCGTTTATAAATGTACTATTACATCCGCCAGGGGGGTTATGTATCCAGTTTATTTTTGTCAACAATATGTAACACAACAACTTCTGTACTTGCCAGATTTGTCATGAAACTTGGTGGAAGGATGTAGTATGGGCCAAAGCAACACATATATTATTGTTTGGAAGAGATTTGAATCACGGGGTGGGTTAAACCATGTCTTCGTTTATGTTGAAATTGAAAGATTTGCAACTAATATCTTTGTTGTTGAAGTAAAAAAAACTCAGTTAATCTGCTGCAATAAGTCTGTTGAAATCAGATCTTAAATTAAATACAGCAAAATCCAAATTGTTGAAGGAATATGCATAGTTGTATCTAAACTAGCCACATCCACCAAATTAAGAAAAACTAACTGTAAGAGGACCCCATTATCTCTATTAAGGAAGCAGATAGATAACAAGTTTTCGGGGTCTTTAAGCGTGACGCAGAGCATTGTGGCTCCATGTCAATCCAGCGCAGAGGAAGGAAGAGGAAACCCTAAAGCGAAACCAGGTGATGAAGCTCAAACAAAGCCAGTCAACAGAGAGAGGAAGGGGATGAAGATATGCTGAGACAAGATTAGCAGGAAATAAGAAGTGGATTAGTGAGGGCTTGACTCCTCTGAACACTGAGACCTTTCACTTTTCCCCACGGTGTCGTGCTGCCTGACACTAAGCTCGGCTCCTTATCTTAATCCTCTTTCAGCAAACTGCTGGGGGTCCCACGAGCAGGAAGTGGAGGGAGAGAGGTTGCTTTCCTTACCTTAAAGACGGGCTCGGATGAGTTGTCTCGGACAGGACATTTCTCCAGGAAGTTTGATGAAGGAACATGCAAAAGGGAAGAAGATGAAATGGCAGTACTTGTTGAGGTGATGATGAGACTTTTAATTTGAGAGAGGGTCTCACCTCGTCAGCAGGTCATGCACAGGAGTGTGATGGATGACGGATGAACACACACACACACACCAGACTAATGTGTCGATTTCCCCAAATGCAGGGAAGGCTACATCGTTTTATTTGAGTGTTTATTAATAGGTCAACAGTCAGCCGAGCATCCAAGCATACAACAAGTTACTCTTTAGCTTTGTTCCACATTCTGAACGTAAAAGGAATTACAATAGGAAAATAACTTGAACAAAAAAAAACAAAAAAAATATATTTACAAACTGCATTATAAATATGTCAAATGTACATCATTATACACAAGTACCAAAGATGGTCGGTTAATGAAACCAAACAGAAGTACCTTAAAAATATGTCTAAAGAGAAACAAAAAAAAACAACGTATCAAAAAATGGTTCAAAGGAGACCTAAAACCAGTTTAGTTTGTTTCTCTAGGAGGAGCTCGTCTTCAGATAAAAGCTTTAGCTAATATTTACACTTCCAATTGATGTTTAAGGGAAAACAGGCAGGTTTCTAGTGTCTTTTCATCATCTTCTCTACAGTATGTCAATGAGGGTTCAGGTAATTACTTTACACAATAAACTCCTCTCAGTAATCCCCACTGAAATGTAATTTTGAAATCAGTCGGTCAAGTAAATCAGAAATAAGGCAAGTACCACTGTACAGTACAAGTACATTTGAAGGTTTTAGGTGAATTTGTGGTCATTTTAAGGATGTTGGGAAAAGTTCTTATTCGCTTTCTTGATGAAAAGATCGATATTACTCTAATTCCTGTGCGTTTAGTACAGAGGTGAAGCCAGCAGGCTGTTTTAAACACTGGGTAACATTTCAAAATGAAACAAAACAAAATAAAAACGCATCAAAATTATCATGTTTTTAAAAAAGTACGCATGTTACGGAAGTAGGTTAAAAGTCTTTACTTCCACCAGTGTCTTGCACTAAAGTCTGGTGTCTTCTGTATTTAATTAGACAAAAAAAAAAGAGGTACAATTTTTAAAATGTGTTTTTTTTTTAGACGTCGCCACATGGTGTAACTTTATGCTAAACCAGGCTAACTGTTAGCTAGGCCATGCTAATCCCCTCCAGACTCCAGGTCTGCACTAAATGAACACACACACGAGTGTAATGGATGTTCTGATCAAGAAAGCAAATAAGTATCCCAAAAATATCACAGTTTTCTTTACAATATCGCCATTTCATCGATTTACAAACACCCTCGTTTGACCACATATTCAGTCCCTGTGAGCTCTTAGAACAGAAATATTGTAAAGCAACAACAGAAACCGGAACAAAAAGGTACACAAAGTTAATAACGGCCTCTGTAAACATATATCCTGCTCTTGTAAACTCATAAAATCAAGACGGTTTAGAAACCTTAAAATTGGCAGTTGAATCAAAGGGTAAATACACATTGTGCCAACTCCACCTGAATTAATTTCTTCCCTATAAATTAATCAGCTTATGTCAGTGGAATACTGTACATTTGTATTACTTAATGCAAAGAGAGTCAAGCTACTTCAACCCCCAGCTCACTTTAATCCTAAATGTTGTTTGAATGGTTTTTGTTAACTCTCTGCGTTTAAGCCGACACAGTTTGAACGGAAAGAGGTTGTTTTCTGGACTCTAAAAGTCTAAGTATGTTCTTATAAGGAATAAGGTGAGGGAACAAGAACTACTTTTTACAGACGTCTGTACATTAAAACACAGTTATGTTCCAAAATCTTCACTGCGGGTGTCTTCTCTCTGGTGTAAATGTTTTATGAACAGAAATGCCCGGTGGCTCTCTGCTATCACAGATGAAAGACGTAAGCACGCACACACACACACACACGTGTTGTACAGTTATGCACGGACGCACACACACAGTACCATATATGTATTTCACAGCAACAAAAGAGGAAATAATCTCGAGAGTACCGCTTCTACGGGCTGTCGCTGCGGCGAGGCGGAAGGATATTCCAGTATCTATCTATGTCAAATAATTACCAACACAATCGAGTCAATCGGAGAATTACTCCAACAAAGACATCATTATCAGTGTGATCTCACTGTTTCAATCAAACCTTTGAATTTGAATGAATTCTGATTGAAGAGGCACGCTTACAAAGCCGCGTGGCTCGATGGTCATAAAACACGATGCCCCTTAATTCCTTTGTAGTCACCGACACTTTTACTGGAGGATCACGATAAGGGTGGCGAAGGAAATGACTCACTTTCACCCCGACAGGAATTCTGCAATCAACTCCTTTATGATGATCCGAACCCATTTTCCTGTGAATTAAGTATCTAAATCATTTGGACTCTTCATCTATAATTGCTTTGCCTTTGTATATGAATAGTATGTCAAGAGTTTGATAGCTGTGTTAAAGACATGCGTCATTACTAAAGCTGTAACAGCCACTGGGATCATGGAAGATTTAGTTTCCCTTAGTGTTTTTGTCACTTGTTAAACTATCACTCACAGTTTTATGTTATAATGCTCAGGCTTGGAAATGTGAAGGAAGTTTCTCTCATTTCAAGCTCATTATGAAATCAGTTCACGTCGCAGAAGGGGAAGACATAAAAAGGAAATGTTCAAGCATTAAGGAAATGCTTTTCGTAGGGTAGGTATGAATGCCAAAGTAAGTCATTTGTTTGGTTGGCGCTTAAAAAACACAAAGCTTAAAGCTGATCGTGATCGTTTCAGACCAAGATAGAACAAATTCAACAAATAAAAAAACAATTATATAAAACAAACAATGTACAATGTCCGACCCCCGAACTACCACTTCTTTGAGCATAGTGGAATATTAACAATGAGTCCATCACTCTCTGCGTTGGTAAGGATTCTGGGTTACACAGTGTGAAGCAGAGGGGGNCGGGGTCTCTCTGTGTCTCGTCTCTACATGATGCTGATGCTGCGGTTGAGCTCGCACTGGGCGTTGTTGTTGTTGATGTTGGGGTTGGGGTTGCGGCGGCTCATGTTGGGCGTTGCCACGGACGACAGGCTGCTGGTGTCGTTGGGGCAGCCGTGCTGGAGCAGGATGTCGCCGCACTCCTGGCTGCCGGCCCGCCGCGCGTAGGACAGAGGGGTCTGACCCCGAGCCTCCCGACTCGACACGTCCACTCCGTACTGCCGGAGAGAATTACATAGAAAAGTCAGATTTGACATATTTTAGAGATTTTCCAAGGAATTTCCAGATGATTCCAAGCTCATTTGAGTTTCCTGATTTGGTCCTCCATGTTTCTCGTCACTTTCTACAACTAGCGGTCATTTTAAGAGCTGTTTTGTTTACAATAATCTATGATTCTACCATATTCAAACAGGCATGACTGATCTCCTTCCAAAACACTGAAATATCTGTTAAACCTGAAACCTTTAGCAATAAGCATGTTGCATACTAAACTCCTTGAATCCTTGATCCTTGCAAGAGCATTGAAGTTGTTAAATATTGTATGACAATATCCGATTTACAATATATTCTATATCTGCTCAACCCAAAAGTGAACACACTAAAGCTGTAGCTGTAAAAGTTGTATGTCTATTCCTCAAGATGATATGGAAACATTTGAGATATCTTGTCCATATCACACACATTTACAAAAACCTTTTGCGGTTTCTAACAATACTTTAGTAAAAGAGTTGAGTTATTTGTGTTGAGCAGAAAGGAAGGTACTGTGTTTCAGGGGAACTCTCTTCAAGGAGCTACATTTAACTAGCCAACATTACAATTGAACAGCTAACTATGAAAACTAATATTCACTTGGTGTTTAGGAGAGGGACTTGAAATAAGAAACATCTGGAGAGATTAAAGAGGGTTTGTTGTTGTTTTGGAAGTCCTTCGACCCCCCCCCCCCCCTCTAATCCGAGGACTCACCCAGATGAGCAGCTGTGTGATGACCACGTTAGCCATGGCGCAGGAGAGGTGCAGCGCGGTGCGTCCGTCCCCGTCCCCGTACGTCTCGTTGACCTCCTCCTTGGTGCCGTGGGCCAGCAGCAGCACCACCAGCCGCAGGTCGTCCTCCACCACGGCCCGCAGCAGCTGCTGGCCGAGGGGCACGTCGGACTGGGGCAGGCCCACCAGGAACAGCTTCTGCTCGTACTTGGCTCGAATCCAGCACTCCTTCTCCTCCCTGGAGAGAAAGGAAACAACAGGTCAGGCGGGGGGGGGGAACACGATGAGCAATTAGGACTTAAGTTACAAAAAAACTTTCAACACGTGTCATATATTCCTTTTTGACCCATATTTGACCACGTAAGATCATATCATATCAGCATAAGAAATGACAGATAACAACAACCAAAAGATAACATTGAAGGAAAAATAATAATGTTTTAAATTGCACGCACACACAGTAGCAACGGATTTCAACTGTGTACTTATAAGAGCTTTATAAATCAAACAGAGACCAATTATGTGAGTTTCAAGTCTCTTTGAAAAGTTAACCGGAGCCAAGAAGCCTTTTTCCCTAGATCCATACACCGAGAACAGACAAGACGACCATATCTTGTGATCTCAGAAGATAATATGAGTCAGATTTCTGTTCAAGAGCAGATATACACTGAGTTACAGCAGAATGGTTATAATTCAGATACAGTGAGAAACGTAGACACAAAAGAAGTGTCACGGCAATTGGCGTTAGATCCTCACTACAGAGAAGCTCCTAAATTATTAGAGCACAGGACCCCACCACCAGCCTCCTCTATCACAGCGGGAAATAAACCATTGAGATTGTCGGCGGAGATGAGAGAATGCCAAAGGCTGTGAGGCTTTGGGCAATACTCCACTTCCTAGTGATTAGGGTGGACAGCAAGGCGGTGAGAGTCTGGCCAGCTTTCTAAAGGTTACACATCTCCAACAGCAAGTCTGCGGCTGACAATACAGGAAGGAGGGGGACGTCTTTTTTATCAGCGCTGTCGGCTGTCAGTCTGAACCGGTGGATCCCTTCCACAAAAGAGGCAGTGTGTCTCCGGGCCCCGGTCTCCCCGGTCTCCCTCGGGGGGGGGGCCGGGCCCAGAGTCAGATCGATGGGGCTGAATGGCAGCCAGAGAGGGCCGGTGGGTTCCTTCACTCTGCGGCGGAGAATAGAGGCGGAAAGGGAAGGCTCCGTCCTCTATCGCCAGGCCGAGTTATATCTATTGCTCTCCATCTTGAACCCCCCCTCCGTTTCATTCTCTGCCCACATACAAACTGTCCAAATAAGAAAGAAAAAAAAATCAATATCAATATGTGAATGAGTGAGCATGCCCAGTGTGGCAGTAACCCGGTGACCCCGTCAGGCGGAGTGATAAGAGGAGCAGAAAGAGGCTGTTGTCTGGGAGTGAGGGTGAGTGACAGAGAGGAGAGGGTTTGGACGGATAAGTTAAGCGTCAACGCCGGCTGGAGTGACAAGACCCTCGTGGGACTCCCTATCAACGGCCGAGGCCTCGCAGCAAGTACAAACTGACACTCTCATTCACTTCCATTCCATTTCATCATAATCACAGTGACAACAAGAGCAGCAGAACAACTTAATTACCGAAATCAAGCTAACCAAAATAACATCAGATCCACACAATAAAAAATATATATTAATCTTGTTTTTTTAAGCACTCCTTCCTTCAGATTTCTGTCTCTACCGTGGTGCAATGGATACTCTTATGCATTTTGTCTGACAGGTTTGTAAAAAGATATTTAAAAGGATAAAGCTGATGCCATTTTATTCTCTTTTTGTTCAATTATTTATGTTAAATTAACAACATTTTAGTAGTTTTTTTTTACATTTTCTGTTCCCTCTACCCCCGGTCTGCAGCTCTTTTTTTTATCACCCAATCAATTGACTGATTACATAAACATTTACAAACTAGTGTACAAATATTTTTGTATATTGTATATTTTAAGAAAAAAGTGTATTTAATTATCTCAAATTGCTGCGTCCTGTAGTTTTTGGGAAATATTACCCAAACACCAGAATGCCAAGGCACAC